AATGCACAAGTACTTTTATTATATCCTTCTTCATTTAAAGTTCAATTGAAATTATTTTTGCTTTCCTATCTCTATCAAGTTTGTAACCAGTATAATTCTGACTTTTTTATTGTACTACTTGTGAATGTAGTCTACTTACACCTTAAGCATTTAGTTGAGATGATTAACATGGTGATAGAGATAGGCCGAAGACTTGGGGTTCATATTTGCTGCCACCAATTTATTAAACTTGTACAAGTGATATGGTGATGATAAAATGAAGGAAAAATTTCATACATAAAAGATTAACAATGGCATATTTTAAAATTAAGAAAACAAGTTTTAAACTTCAAAAATCAGATTTTTATTAAAATTTGTTTATGATTTAATAAATAAATTTATTTATTAATTAAATATGTTAAGGTCACATATCTATACAATTTGATCACAAATTAATAATTTAATTAGTCACTTATTATTATTTTTTGTCAAAAATCAGAAATTTTATGTTACAAATTATTTTATGATCAAAATTCAAAAATTTTGTAGGTCAAAGTTTGTTCATCGATCACAAATTAAAAAATTAATTAGTCACGGATTATTTTTAGCTACAACTTATCAAATTATTGGTCACAATTTATTTTTCGATCACAAATCAAAAATTTTATAGGTCACATATTATTTCTCGGTCACGAATAAAAAAATTTATAGGTCACAGATCACAATTATTATATGTCAGAACTTATTAGACACAATCGCAAGTTATTAATTCTTTAGATCACATATTATTTTTTAGTCACAATTTATCTTTTCATTGGTCATTTATTGTTTATTGATCATAGATTAACCAATTCATCGGTCACAATCAACTAAATAATCTGTCACCACTACCAACACTTACGACAACCACTTCAATGTTGCCTTCAACAGCACCACCACCATCGTCACCGCAAAAACCACCGCATTGATAACAAACTTTCAATCAACCAATAAAATCGTCACAAACACCCACACCCCATCCTACCACTCCAAAGCACCGAACTACGACCAATGACATCGCACACCGTCGCCATTGTCAGCATCACCACCACTATAACCCCAACAGCACCCACGCCCCATCCCACCACTCCAAAAGTAGCACACCACAACCAACAACCAGCAACGACGTCGTCCATCGCTACCACAATCGACATCACCACCACTATAACACCAACGGTGACATCACCACCATCACGACGAGCTCCGCATCGCTATCACCAGATCCACTACCACTATAAAGCCGTCACCACACAAAACACCACCCAAAACCGCCACCACATAAACACCACCCAAAGCCGCCACTTTACAAATACCATCACCACCACAATCACCGCAAATACCACCAATCGCAAAAAATCCCCTACAAACACTACAAACCACAAAACACCACCACACCACAAACACAGCCATCTGCAGGACCTAGTGGACTCCTAATGTCACCACAAACACCACCAATGGTACCAGAATCTGTATACCGCTCGTCGCTCCACCTCGTATAGCAACGAGATCTCTTAACGCTGTTCTAGATCTCAAAATCTTGTAGATAACTCCATCGTTGCTATGTAAACGGCGTCAAGCGACGAGATTAACACAGCCATCAAAATTTATATGCCCTGCACAAATCGAAATCTCACTCCACTGCACCTCGCACAACTCTCAGATTAACACACCCAGTCACTCCACCTCGTAGATTAACATTGCTTGCACGCTACATCTTGCACAGATTGAAGTCTCACGTCGTCCCACCTCTCACAGCCATTCCAATGTATGGTAAATAGATGTGTAGAGATAATATAGAGAGACGAGAGAGGGAATGACGGAGATGGGTCAGTGTCTTTTGCTGGGTAGTGCGTAGGGTTTTATATTTTTTATTTAAATAATTAATAAAAAAATTCTGATTTTTGAAATGTTAACCTTTCCCCCTGATTTTAGAATTCTTGATTTTAATGCTAGAGTTTTGTGTAATTTCCACTAAAATGAATTAATGGGGCTTTTGAAGAGCAAATTTAAATAAATAAATGTGGTCACTTTACAAAAACTTAAGCTTTTGGATCACATGTTCACACGAATTTTACTCAATTGCATTTTTGTTATAATACATATAATTTATTAGTCCTTATTGGTTTATCAAGCTATTTATTTTACGTTAGATTTAATTATGAGCAATTTTCATGTCCACTAAAACGATAATTAGAAAAATGAAATGGATATTTAAATAGCAGAGACTATAATGTTATGGGCATATGATTATTCACCTTTCAATTTTTTAATTACAGGGCAAAAATGATGTCATCGTTGATGAAGTTGGTAGAGCTACATTTCATTTTGATCTATATATGCTTATTTATATATCGAAAGATATTAATAGAATGACGTTAAAATTTTTAGTTTTGTGGTTTCTAATTGGGTGCGAATTTGTTGATATAGTTGTGGCATGATGATAAGATTGCAAAATGCTGTAGAGGATTTCGCATGGATGTGATAATGCCATCAGAATCATGTTAAAATGGTAAAATAAGTTCTTCAATCTGCTACTAACCATGGAAACGTTTGTTGCTTGGATATATTGCTAATTTTTCACTTTCATAAATTTTATGGGTACAAAGCAGTGTAATGAAGCATGTCAAAAGCTTGAGAACAAGTACGATATTGTTGTCAATATTCAGGGAATGAACCTTTTATTGAACCTGAAATGATAGATGGCATAGTAAAGGCTCTTCAGGTAGTATATATGTCATATGTACTTCCTGGCTAATGTTTAGCAAATATCAAAAAATGGAAAAGATAGGGACAGTAAAGGTTGAGATCGTATTTTATTTCTTTTCTCTTTGTTAAGATAGCAGTCAATTGCATCTCCAAAGTGTGATTCCCAGTTCCTACAATGAGCAGTGAGCACACTGTCAGTATTTATTTGTATGTCATTTAGGCCCAATCCAAACCAATATACAACTCATGGTGCTCATGCCTTGAGGCAATATTAAAGCATGTAGATACTATTTAAGAGTTGATGGCGGTGAACTGTACGTTGATTAAAAGGGTAATTGTTTTATAGTCAATGCTTAAGTTTTTTTTATTTATTTTCATTGAATTCCAAACGTTAGTGTTCCATATGTACTTGGGTGTTAAGGAAGTCTCATTGGTGGGTATGAACCAGTAATAGAGTCCCCAAAAGATAGAACGAATTGCTACTATGCCCCCAAAGTTTTCAAAAAAGTACAAATAAATTTCAAATAAATAATTAAAAAAAGAAAGTGATTTATTTGAAATTTATTTGTACTTTTTTGAAAATTCTGGGGGTATCATTGCAATTCGTTCTTTTATTTTATTTAAATAAGAATGTATATTCATTATTTTACAGCATTTAATTGAGAAAATTGATGAAAATGATGTTTTTGTAATGAAATGTGAAAATAATGGTAAAAATGCTAACAAATGAAAGGTAGAAACATTTTGCACAATAATATTGAAAGATATGAACATTTTGTGCTAATTACCCTTTTAATAATTTATTTAGACTCATTTACAGTTTTTTAAAAAATTTGAAAGTATAATTACAATTTTTCTTTAAATTTTTTCTCTTTTATTTTTTTCTAAATAATTGGGCATATTCGTTATTTTACATTTTTTTATTGAGAAATTGGATGAAAATGATTTTTTTTGTATCGAAAGATGAAAATAGGGGTGAAAGTGCCAAAAAAATGAAAGATAACGACATTTTGTACAATAATATTGAAAGGTAAGGATGTTATGTGCTAATTACTCTTTTGAAAATGTATCAATTGTGTTCGAAATGGTATTAAGAAGGCATCAAGTGACATTTCTAGATATATTACTTCCATAATGTGCCTAATCGATCAGAATTTACTCTTATTTTTAACTCTCTTAAAGCCTATTTGGTTGCTATTTCTAATCTTTTCTCGATGTCCATGCATTTAACAAATGTTTAAAGAAGAAAATAAAATATGTGCAAGAAACTATCATCATTATTAAGCATTATTGTCTCGTCTCTAACATTTATCTCGATCGGTAGTGGAAGTTGAGTTGTTGCATAGCTCAAGATTGATAAATTAGTGATATTAAATGGAGATCAATGCATCGGGCAAGTTGTATTTAAAAGAGTTAATTCTTTTCTTTTAAACTCTTAACATTCCTATTCAATCTCTAGAACTAAAGTCTTTGCTCTGATATCAAGTTGTTACTCTCAAATTCTACTTCTCGACATCAACCTCTAATCTTTCTAACATTGAAAAATTAATTGTGTTATGACTCGTTTGTAATTTTAATATCAAGGAAATCTCTCTCTTTCTTTTTAAACTTGATTCATTCACTACATGACCTTATAAAAAAATAATGTTATTCATAATAAAGGACTATTGTACCCATCTTATGTGGTAACTAGTTATATGAGACACTGAAATTTTCTGTAATTTTTCCGTCTTAAATAATATTACTCTTTTATAAAATATAAATGGACCCCTTGACAATGTTAGAATTATTTGGAAATTTTGTCCCACTGTATAGTTTCTCATCGAGTTTCATGCTTTTCCTAGGGCGAAAAGGTCTCCCTCCGTAGCTCCGCTTATGGCGACGATGAAAATTTTACTTGCTGTAATTTCAATTCATAAGCCCCGTTTGACCCCGTTAAATTTCATTTTATTTTGTCCGTCTCTAATCTTCAACCACACAATTTTTCATAACATAATATTATACGTGAATCGAAAATTTTTCACTCTTTTTAAAAAAACAATCTACTCTTCAAAAAAATATCATTCCACTCATTTTCATTTCAAAAAATGGAGGCTAAACTGGCTAAATGTCACAATTTCAAAAATCCCTACCTATTCATATTCCACGCGGCGGAATCTAATTGGAAGAAAACTGGTTCATTGAGAGTCTGCCCCCCAACCGGTGCACTTCTCTCTACGCACTCCCGAGCCTCAGCCTCGAACCGATCTTATCTGAGACAGTTCGTTGAAAAATTCGCACATTTTTTATCTTTCTCATATCAATTGTCGCTCTCTCAGTTCTCTCTCTCTCTCTCTAAAATAGCTCTCCCATTTTATTTTCGCCGATTGAAAACCCTAGAGTAAAATTCCCCAGTACGATTTTTAGCTCCATTTTTGTCTGAATCCCCTCCTCGATATCCGTGTAAGTCGCCGTTACTTCTTTCATCGCATACCCTAACGTGCTCTCCCCGTACATATATGCGTGCTCGCTTGTTGAATGTATTTTATGTTTTAAGAATTCATGAATTGGCTAATGTTTTGGGATTTGAGGTGTGGGCAAGGCCTATATTAAGTTTATCTTGATGTCCTGGTCTATGATTTATGAATTGCGTTGGGACGCGCTTTTTTATTCTTAATCTTTTGGAGATTTGTTGAGCAAATGGCGCTTTTGAATGGAATAAACTGGGTTTTTTAATATTACTATTTATGGGGTTTTTGTTATAATTTATGCCAAGTTATGTCTGGGAATGAATTTTTATGGGTATGTGTGAGCTGCAAGAGAATTTGTGTTCATATTTGTCCAGCTGATCTTGGTGGCTTGAATTGAATAAGACGTGCCGGCATTGTGTTAGGTTTTCGGCTTCTTTGTCTCCGAAATTCTGATAAATTAACGCAGTGGCTTAGTTCAGTGTGATTTTGTCTCATTTGCATGGCTGCTTTTCTTAATTATTCGTCCTTATTTTTTTTGTAATTTTAATTACTGTTATTTTGGATTTTACTTTTGGGAATCCTTAGCTTCCTCATTTTCTTGATTTCTTAACGACTTCTTGGTGGACCCTGAGGATGGTGATCTTGTTCAGTGGTCGAGTAAGGGAATTACTAATGACAAATATTTTATACTAAAGATCTGCTCAGACAGTTAATTTTTTTACTGGAACTTGCTGTGGGATCATGAAATGCATGGCTAGTATACGAGGAAATAATGCCACAATTTTTCTGTGATTTCTTTTCTAATGGTTCCTGTGTAAAACCATTTGATGTGAACCCATGTAGCAATTAAAGTTATGAAACCCACACGAGATTGAATCACAACCCAAGGAAGCCAATACACCAAAGTTTTGAGTTTGATCCAAAAATAATGAATCAGCAACCAACAAATCGTTGACAATATTTTGACCTCTTTATCACAAGACTTGAGAATCTCATCCGGATTGTTTGAAAGCTCGGCCCGATAAATTATTGAACTAAAGAATCAAGACAATTGCAAACAATATCTTGACCCCGTGATCACAAAACTCACGAACCTTACTTGGAGTTGTTGAACGCCACAAAAAAGTATGAATCTTTGATACATTCGAATAGTTTGAACGCCACAAATGTTAAAAATATTTGACAAATCTATTCAATTAAAAATAAGATAGAAAGTGAAAATTTTCACATTATGATTAATTCTCAGAAAAATTAATGTCAATGAATGTGCCTTTTATAGGCATAAAGTAAACTCCTAATCAAAATAAAATTCTAATTCTAAAGACAAATCAAATAAGCTAGACAACTAAAAAATAAATCTGAATAAAACTAAAACATTACAAATAACGAAAATGCCTTTAAACTGATTCGTTAAATAAAAATGCAAAAATAGACCCCTAAACAATCGAATTTGACCTCAAAAGTTTGACATAGTCATCCGACGAATTTGTGCAGAATTGAAAGACATTTCCGAATTGTACTCACGGACGAAAATCCGATAATCGAGCTGAAAGTTGTATGCATTTTCTTATATCCTATACGTACTTCATATTCCTTCCATTTTTTAATTGGTTTAGGATTTTCCCTTCTAATTGATCTGTATTACTCCGGAACATGCAATGGATCCTTGTTAGTTTGCCCTCCGTGATTCTCATCACCATTACTCCAAATAAAATTGCAGATTTTATAAGTATGGGAAACTTTTATGTTAGATAATTGAAGACATAGGAACATGCCTCTCAACTGCTTGATCTGTTATACTTTGATGGAAACACAGGGAGGTGCAAAATTGAGATACCTGATTTATTCTAGTATCACTTTTGAAGTACGTTGATGGAAATATTTTTATGCCTTCTGAAATCATTAAATAGAGATATAAGAGTGACTGTGTGGAAAAGCGTACTTTAACTTCTTATATGATGTCATTCCATGTTGGTCTCCGGCATTCATGTGATACTTGCTAGACATGTCATCCCCATGTGGTGTGTCTTTTCTTATTTCGACATGTAGATAACATAACACCAAGATGTTAGAACACGACAAGCCTAATGTTAGGGCAAACATAAAACTATGGCAAATTAAAAACTGGGAATATTTATTCGACTGCAGAATGGTCATTTAAAGTGGAAAGAACCAAAATATAATCAGGCTAATAGTGAATCTTCCACCACGAAGGACACATGCTGAGAAATCTGATAATCTGGACAAAAACGTGAATCTCTTCATAATTTGTTCTTGTTGACGATCTGAGGTTAATAGATCAACAATTAAGAAGCTTTAGAGTTAGGTAGGGAAATAAGACTTAGGAGAGAGAGCTGATGAAAAGGGAGATTATGGAGATGGGAGAGAACTTGGAGAGATGTAGAGATTCTACTAAGGAAAAAAATATGAAGTCTGGGCTTGTGATATTTAATTTTGGGTAAATTATATTCTCTGTACCCAAGGTTTGACCCTCAGGAATCTTTTTTCCAACCCTTTTTGCATAATAATTTGAACCTCAACATTTCATTAATTAGTGTCGCCTGTCAGTACTAATAGTTTCCATCCATAATTTTGTTAGTGTGCCTTGAAATGATAAATTTCCCTTTAAATAAATAGGAAACAAGAAATAACAAAAAATAAAAAAGAGAAAACTGCTTCACTGGCTAAAGCTCCAACACTCCATCCACTGATACCAACGCTCCCTTGTTCCACTTTCTTCCCCAACCAAAGCTCCAACAAAACCCCCCAAAAGCTCTTACCACAATCCAAACCCTGCCAAATCCCAGTAGACACTCTTCTTTCTCATTGCCGCTTGCAACCCCTAGCTGCCTCAAAACCCTCTTCCCCATCCTGGCTACCTTAAACATCCATATGCAACCCTTCGTGGTGCAAATTCCTTTCCACTTTTCTCCCCATTTCAGCACTACCCATTTGGTGATTGTAACTATGGTCGAAAGTATTATTATTCAACAATAGCCTGCAAAAATAAAACTGAACAGGAGCATAAGAAAACACATGCGTCTTAGATCTTACATATTCAGTTGCAAATATAAAGATGTTCAGGGCTTGTTTGGTAGCAAAGTCAAATATTTGTTTCTATTTAGGTGTTTTCAAAGAGTGGTTTGAAAAAGTAGTATTTGGTCTATTTGAAATGGTGAATCCAATACTCGCGTTGACATTGACATTGTTGAATGATACTCCAATTCTTTTGGCTATTATAGTTGAGTTTTGACTCAGTAAAAAATAGATTAAAGCGAGGAGAAAAATTGTACTCTAAAACATAGTCAATGGTAAATGGGTGATTATTAACTGCTTAATGTGAATAATAAACATAAATAAGCTAACACAGGAGACCCTCGTATGTAAGTGTGTGGAACTTTCTTTTGTAACATTTAAGAAAATTGGAAGATTAGGACTTGTATATGATTTTCCTTTACTTATTTTTTTATTTTTTCCAAAACTTTTCTTAGGCCATTGTGTAGGATTTTTCCTCCATAATAAGAGAGAGGCAACATAGCTGATTTAGAGCTCCACATAGGGTTTTCTTTCCTCTAAGATACGTGTGGTTCTATAAGCATCACGGCCTATGCCTGTACACACTGATAGTCACTGTATACCTACACAATTGAAACATGCATGCCCAAGCACACCTACATGTGCACGCATATGGTCATTTATGGATTTATATTCGTAGGTGGAAATGGGGCACGTGGAGTGTATTGTTACAGTTGCCTGCTCATAGCATTCTGAAAATAATTGTGGTTATACCTTTGTTTTACAATGATGGCCACTGTACTGTTATATTATTTGCTACCAATCATTGGCCACTGTATTGTGTTTATATTAACTTCATTTGATCGCTTTGGTATCGTTATTTGATCGTGATGATTATTTGTTAACTGCACTTGACCGTTCTTTCAGGACAGACAGGACTTAATAAGATTAAGCAGCTGGCAGAGGATTGACAATATTCAAGATAAATTGGATGAGATTATAGTCATGTTTGTTTTCCGGATATAACTTTAATTTCGATGTTGTGTAGGTAAATGCAAGCCAAAAAAGTATTTTAAAGCTTAACTAGTGATATCTTTATTTATCAATTTAAGCATATCAATGCTTAAAAGCTGAAAAGTTAGGGTGTGAATCTATGCCTGGAAATGAACTTGGAGACAAGGTTCACAATTTCTTTGCTCAAAACAATTTGTTGCAGGAGCAGCACCGTTTGCAGGATGTGGAAGAGAATTGGCCAGCGGTGAACAATTACTGGGAAGGAAGACGGAGGCAAAGTGACGTAGTGGAATCTAACACAGAAACTTATAATCTACATAACTCAAGTATTTGTAACTGGCTGCTTGAAATCAAAAGTTCAATTCTTATGTTCAACATTCTCTCCCTACTAAAAGTTAGCATGTAAGTTCTTTGTGATGTCTTCTGAATGCAGACAGCAAGGATGATATTCAGATAAGGACTTTTTCATCTATTTTTTCTTTTGTTTTTCTTTAACAGACAGAGATAGAGGATCGAGCAATTATCCTCTTCATTCATCACAGAGCTTGAACTTCAGTCAATCCACTCTGAGGACTGATTTTAATCAAAGTCAGTCCCAAAGCCAACAATTAGATTTGAATGGCTCAATGTACAATAGTCAGATTCAACATACAAGGCAGAGTGAAGCAAACTTTCTGGCAGTGGATACAGATTCTAATCAGCGGAATCTTTTAAACGCAAGAGGCTTATCTATCCGTGAATTGGAGCAAAGGAGTGGCCTTGACCATCAAGCAAAAACTTCAGTTAGATCAGAAGCATCTGTATCTCCCATTAGTTTTGATCTTTTTGGTGGTCAGCAACAGATGAGTCATCACCACCCAAGCATGCTGCAATCTTTGCAGCGTCAACAGTCTGGGTACAATGACATGCCACAACTACAACAACAAGTCATGTTAAGGAAAATGCAAGAGCTCCAAATGCAGCAGCAACTTCGGCAACAAGATTCAAGGCAACAAAATTTATTAAATCAGAATTTCCCTTTTGCTAAGCAGGCATCTGGCCACCAGTCCTCCCCTCAGATCAATGGTACTCCAAGTTCTGAGACATTTCATCACCCATTGGTGGCTGATCTTGGTAATGCCAATTGGCTGCATCATGGTTCTCCCACCATGCAAGAGTCCCTCAATGTTTCTCCGCTAAACCTTGGCCAGGCCCAACGTTCAGGGGATCTTGTCCCTCAATTGGCTGATCACTCTCTTTATGGAGTTCCTATTTCTGGCTCTAGGGGTTTGACTGTGAATCAGTATTCTCAGATGGCCATGGATAGACCATCAATGCTGCAGACATCGACCTTTAGTAATTCCATTCCAGATAATCAACTTGCAGATCATGTTTGCATGCAAGAAGGGACATCAATATCTAGACACAGATCTCAGAATGAAAATATGCTTGGACATGTTTCTAGTCAAGCTCTTAATGCTGGGATAAATATGGAGAGCATCCAGCCAGTGAATCTCATTCAAAGAAATGCACCTCAGCAGGACTTCAGAGGGAGGCAGTATCCATCTATTTCACCGGAGCTTTCACATGGAAAACCGACAAGGCAATACTCTTCGAGTCAGAATGAAGTTGCCCTAGATCCTACTGAAGAAAAGATATTGTTTGGTTCAGATGATAATATATGGGCTGCCTTTGGTAAAAGCCCTGATATTAGTGGAGATGGAGGTAGTTCGTTTGACAACGATGGGTTGCTAAATGGGTTTCCTTCTATTCAAAGTGGTAGTTGGAGTGCTCTCATGCAATCAGCTGTTGCAGAAACTTCGAGCAGTGATATAGGGCCACAAGAGCAGTGGAGTGGTCTGGTAAACAGTACTGAAGTCCCTTCAGCAAATCAGCATCTTTCACTGTACAATGAGAGTGGTAAACAAGATGACTCTTTGGCTGATGACACTATGCGGATGCCTTCAGCATTCCCTTCTGGTTCTGCACCCCCTTCTGATGACAGCCATATGAACAATAGCTATCAGAATGCCATGGGATTTGATCAATTTGGACACAAATTTCAAGGTAAACCTGGTCAAATATTGCAGTCTATGTCTCAAAGACTTGTCCAGCCTTTGGAGGAAGCAAACCGGTGGTCAAATTGTGGTCCAGTGCAAAGATCAGTTGCTGAAGGGAGTCAGCTATTTAAAAACGTCTCACAACATTCTCTTGATGCTGATAAAAATTCAACAAGCACTTCTACACTTTGGAATTCCGAGAATAGTGGAAGAAAACAACCAACCAATTGGAAAGCCTTGGGTCCTTTAAAACATTCCATAGGAAATGAAGGGGGCTTGAGTTTAAATGATGCTGCTTCCATGCCTAACTCAAGTGCCACAGGGGTTGATGCGGAAAACAGTCAATTTGTTCAGAATAGTTATTTACTTAATCAGTGGAAGAATACCAATTCTTTGGTTAAATCCCAAAGAGGTGAAGGCCTAGGGAGCTTGCTGCACAGCACAAATGAAGATAATCAGGTTTCGGACTCAGCGCATGGTTGTGACAGAGAGGAAGTTACAACACATGAGACGGACAGTTCTTATTTGAAGGGAAATTTGAATGAAAGTCGACCAAACTTCTTACAGCACATTCCTAGTGGTTTGAGAGACCGTCGGTTGTCTGATGCTAGTGATTCACAACCTCTACCCACTGGCAAGCAAAAGACAACTAATCAGCTTGGTAGGAAAGCTTCTGGCCCTCGCAAGTTTCAGTATCATCCCATGGGAAACTTGGACGAGGATGTGGAATCTGCTCATGAAATGAAGCAGCCTACACATGCCCTGGCCATGTCCCAGCAGAATGTGCATCTTGGCCGGTCAAATTTTTTTGATCAGGTCTCAAAGAAATCTATGGTGATCTTCAACATTTTCTATAATTAATATAATATATGTATATATTTAACTTTAACGTGTTAGAAGGTTTGAATATTTCTCTTATTTACAGCAGCAATCTTCTGCTCTTCAAAGAGACAATAAAGGCGTTAACGAGGGGCAATCCGGGGTCAGCATTCCTGGTTATACACCTAATATTTCTGTTCCTTTCAATAAATCTGTTGATGCATACACACCAAACGCGACTTCATCTAGGTAATTCATTGTTTCTGTTTAATTCCTTTAGTATTTACACACAGTACCTATTACACAATTTTTGTGTTCAATCCAGTCAAAACATGCTGGAGCTTCTTCACAAGGTGGATCATCATGGTTCCATGATGCACGTCAATTCTTCTGAAACAAAAAATAATGATGGTTCTGTTGACCACGTCCATCGCAATCATTCGGCTGCATCCCAAGGTTTCAGATTGCAACTTGGTCCTCCATCTCAACGGATGCAAGTTTCGGAATGTTCACCGTCTTCTCAGACTGTTCAACATACAACTGATTCTCCACATTCAAGTCATGCTGCTGCCGAAATTGAAGAGAATGGCCCACGCATAGTTACCACATCTTCAATTCAATCAGTGCCTTTTTCTAATAAACAATCCGAGACTCAGTTAAAAGATGAAAAATCTGGAATTCCAGGACAATCTGAAAGTGGAACCACTGGATATAAGATTCATGGGAATTTTTCTCCAACATTAAATTCTGGCTCTGGCTACTCAGTAAGTCATCTTCATCAACAGATGACTGGGGCAAGTGGACAAATGCCAGTAAATCAGAATAATAACTCGTATTTTGATAGAAGTGCCTCCAACTCCACCCAGAAAGGATCTGAGGAAACCTTTTTGCTCAATGCATCTTGCAGTACTCCACACAGTATTCATGTGTCTTCTGGGGGGACTTCTCGGCAAACCAGCATTAATGATCCACAGGGAAGAGGTTCATCTGATACAATGTTAGCTAGGGATCATGTGCCCTATTCTCAGCCATCGGCTGCGCCTATCATTTCTCAACATGGTGCATCCACACAGATGTTTATGTGGACCAATGTTCCTACACACCAACAAAGTCAGGGTTCTCAGTATCCCAAGGTGTCGTCACATTTCCTAGAGTCCACACAACCAAATATTGTGGAATCAAGTTCTTCTGTACCCCATACTGCAGTTGATCCTAATAAGAATCTCTCATCCAAATTTAGTGGAATTCCTATGAACTCTGCTGTTGTTAGTGGGGAAGGGCAGAGGTTGAAGGAAAGCTCTGAATTTCAAGTAACATCTGTAAACACTGTCCCTGTTCAACAGATGAATGAGGCCCTTGGAAAAGTATCCTCTGTCAAGTATCCCTTGGATGATTCTCATGCTAATTCTTCTTCAAAACAAAAGGATATTGAAGCATTTGGTCGGTCTTTGAAACCTAATAGCTTCTCTCATGAAAATTACTCCTTACTAAATCAAGTGCAGGCCATCAAGGATGCAGAGGTTGATCCAAACATTAGGGCCTCAAAGAGGATGAGAGGATCAGATGTTCATCAAGTAGCTTCACAGGGAGGGCAGGTAAATGAACACAGTGCTATTAATGGAGATCTGTTAGGTTCTTATGCTGCAGTTTCATCTGGGGATTCTAGAATGCAAAGGTTCTCCACGTCAGCTGATGCCTCTCAGGACGTTCTTGCATTTGATCGGGATACTTCTAGAATTTCTCTTGGTTCTCAGATCTCACCATCTTGTTTAGATCAGTACGGAACTTTTAAAAATGGAAGAATTTTTCCAATGTATGATGCAAGCATGGTCACCACTTTAAGAACAGCCGAACCATGTTTTAATCTTGGGAAATCTTCCAGTAGTTTGCATACACATAATTCTATGGATGGGGCAAGTCTAGTTGGTGGTGCCCAACAAAGTTCTATTCCTTCATCTGTAGCGATTGAACATTTTTCTTCTCCTGAGTCAGAATCCAAGAAGCGCAAGGATGCTACTTCTGAACAACATCCTTGGCACAAGGTAGTATCACAGGGTTCACAAAATCTTCAAACTCTCAGGTGGTTATCTTCAATAGAAACTTTTAATTTCTTTTTCTGTTTCTTTCATATTATATAGTGGAGTTGAACAGTTATTTGATTTAACTACATATGTTTAATGTTAATGAATTTTAATGTTCTCTCTTTATACTGTAAATATATATTTGTTAATATACATGCATTTTACTTCTTGCAGGATGGCAGAAGTCAATTGGTGTAAAGCAGCAAATCGGCTAATTGATAAGGTGTTATGGTGTTGCTAAACTATGCTCCTATGTTTCTTCATCTGCATGATTTGCTCACATGGTCCTCCACATCCTCTTTCTTCTTTTCTGATGGCAGGTGGAAGATTTTGACTTGATTGAAGATGGACTGCAAGTGCTTAGATCAAAGATAAGGCTTATCTTGACGACACAACTTATGCAGCAATTGATTTGCCCTCCACGAGCAGCAATTCTCTCTGCTGATGCTAGTTCAGATTATGAGAGTGTGGCTTACTCTGTCTCTAGGATAGCACTGGGAGAGGCTTGCAGTGCAGTTTCTCGCTCAAGTGATTCAGATATGCCTTTTCATGGAAAAGACATGTAAGACAGTCAGAAACTGCCTGAAATTGTTCAGTCAATTTAATGCTTTGATTCTTTGGAGTTACTATTTGGATTAATTTATAGTATGAATAACTAGCTCTCTACAAAATATATTGTAGACTTGCTGCTAAGGGCAATCAATCTGATGGAATTGGTGACCATCGTTTTGACAAAGCTATTGAAGAGTTTATGGGAAGAGCAACGAAGCTAGAGAATGAGTTCTTGAGGTAAATTATCTTGATTTTTCAAAATTCTTGCGAAGATAGACCCATACTCTATTTACTTTGATGATAACTATTCATTTATATCCAAATATTTGAAGTTAGAAGTGATTTTTGCTTAGCCAAACATGCAGCTAGTCTTCCCTTTCTAGGGTTTTTTTTTTTTTTTTTTTTTTTTTTTTTTTTTTTAACAT